TTACAAGGTACTTGCAATTTGATGTACTTTGTGGACAGGAAGACATAGTCACCCACCCGGAACGGAGGTTGCTGTTTGCGTTTCTTATCCGCCTGCTCCTTGGCTCCCTCCCTCGCCTTCCTCAGTGCTTGTTGCACTGTATTCCACACACCCCCCACCTGGGTGAGCCAGGCATCCGCCGTGTAAGGTGGGTTACCTTACACGGGGTGGGCATGGTTTCAGCATGACGCATCCAGCCCGCAGGCTGGCAGTTTGACATGCCTGCTTTAGTTTGACTGTGTTCTATTGCTTGTGCTTACATAATGTTGAATTCCAATATTGCATGATCACTCCCCACCCCAAGGTTCCTGTGGCTTCAACACCTTCTATCATTTCATCTCTGTTAGGGAGAATTAGGTTCAATATGGCTAATTCCCTAGTTCCCTTCTCTACTTTTTGGCAGACAAAGTTGTCTGCTAGGTTTGTCAGGAATCTGTTTGATCTTCCACTTGGTGCAGTTGATATCAGGGTAAATAAAGTCCTCCATTACTATTGTGATGTGCTTCCTATCTTAGCTGACTAGCAAAAAGTTCATCTATTTCCTCTGTTTGGTTCTGTGGCCTATAGTATACACCTATGGCAATGTCATTTCCCCCCCCCCCTTTTATATTGACCCAAATGCATTCAAGACAGTTTTCATCATTGTTGTACTCTATTTCTATAGAAATGTAGTTATTTCTTATATAGAGAGCAACTCCACCTCCCCTTTTATTTGGTCTGTTTCTTTTAAATAATTTAAGTCCCCCTAGCTGTGTGTTCCATGTGTGGGTTTCATCCCACCATGTTTCTGTAATGGCAATAATATAATATCTGCCCTCATTTACCTGAATTTCTAGTTCACCCTGTTTATTGCTCATGCTCTGTGCATTGGTGTATAGACATTTGAGTCCTTTATGACTGACCCTGTGTTTACTTTCTACATAACTTGTGTGGTGACTGAGTTCCCCTATTTTCTTACCACCTGTTTGATTAATGCACTTGGTGTGGCACTCACTATTAAAAGCTTGATTTTGCTTGACAGCTAGGTTGATATTCTTGTCTACACACACATCTATGTTATATGCACTGATAACCCTATAATTTTTAGATTGCCGGGGATAGGAATGTTCTGTATCAATTAACTCACTGTCCCTCACAGTTTAAATATTTTTCCAGAAAATCTGTGAATTTATTGCCAAGTAACTCAGTCCCTTTCTTTGATGGATGCAAACTGTCTCTTTTGTACACTTTTTCATTGGACCAGCTTCAGACATCATGACTAATATAACCAAAGCCTTCAAAACCTCTGAAAAAGTAAGCCTACAGTCTATCCTGCTAAGTTCCTGCCCCAAGCTCTGGAAATCATTCTGCACAGAGTACATCCTTTGGGGTCAGATCGTTAGTGCCAAGATGTACAATAGTATCCACATCACAGTCCTTGCTGGCATTCTTGACTATCTTAAAAGTACGCTTCTTGTCCCTACTGGCAGTAGCACCTGGAAGACACCTGACCTCTTTTGAAACCTCTGTATCCTTTCCTAAATTCACATCCCTTATAATTGAATCACCAACCAGAAGGTGGCTCCTCTTTTTGAATGCCTTGCTCTTCTTGCATGACTGATGTGTAGTACCTGATTCGCACTTTCCCCTGTCCAAAACTAGTTTTTCATCTCAGACCATGATCCCCTGCTTATTTGACTTATCATCATCACAACTACCTTGACCTGTCTCCTTAGTGTCCCTATTAAGGTCAGCAAGGGCACTGTATCGGTTACGCAGGGACACAGCGAAAGCTTTGTGTTTATGGTTCACAGCTCTCACCCTGCCAGATCCCACAGTTGTCCACACTGCCCTTCTCCTGCAGGATCTTTGTGGTAATGGGGGCTGATAGCATAGCAGTTCGATAGAGCAGAAGGGCTGAACTGGACACCTAATTTCTGCCTGAAGAGCACAGATCACAGACCCTAGATAGGTAAAATGTTCTTGTAGACTAGTGATTTGTTTACAGATAGGACAGTTTTCAAGTTTGAAAAGAGCACTGCAAAAGACAGCTGGAAAACAAGTGTTGCACTGAACTAAGTCAGACATTCTGAATAAAAATCACACTACCCATACTGGTGAATGTTCGGTGAAGATGATGAAGCTTGCAGAGATGGCTACATTAAATTTCTTGATAAGAGAAAAGATAATATCTACATTTATGGTTGATTGGAAACCCTGTATAAACTTGTTGCATGAAACAGAAGGGAAAAAAACGCACTCATGAGTTGTAGCTTTAATGAATAGGAAAAAAATGATAATAAAAAAGTCAGCTTTTTTGTAATCATAGGAGATAATTCTGTGTATTTGCTGCAGAGGAAATCAGAATTCTTTCTCATCTCACTTTTGTTTTTTACACTTTTTCCCTTCTCTCTTCCTGAATTTTAAAGCACCTATTGTTTAATGAAATAGCTATCTTTCAGAGCCTTGCATGTCTATTTCCACATTTGTGTTGAAGAAACACACCTTTAGTTGTCACAACAGAATGACTGGATTTCTAACATATGTGCTAATTCAGAACTACAAAAAGAATGCAGTTCAAATGCATATAATGGCATAATTTTCTGAATTAACAAGGCATCAGAGAGCTTAATTATAGGGCTGTGTTATATAATANCTGACATCGATCCCTCTTTGATCCCCCTGACACTGACCCAGAATCTCTTTTGGATGCTCTGGGGTCAAAATGTCATCCAACATAAAACCCCGCCGGCTTTTTGTTACCTCTCAATTTTTTCAGAGCGCTTTTAAGAAACACAGTCATATTACTGTAAGCCCAGATTGTCCACTTCGGATCTATAAGTAAATCCACCGGATTTTCATATGTTTTCTTAGCCTGGTACCTGGCAAGACAAAAGAACAGTTTATCAACCTGCCAATGGAAGAAGCTTTCTAAAATATCAGATGGTGCTTGAGGATTGGCTAGCTACAGGATCCAGTCTGAGTCGGTTACTGGGATTATTCTTCCAAGCTTTCAGGCTCATGCTGAAGCCCATCCTAAGGAAACTGCTCTCTATCCAGAATGTGTGCACTGGGTTGTTCTATGTGCTGTAATTTTGTGAACCCTGACCCGGAACTGCACTCATCCACCCTCATCAAATGAGAGATATAATAGAGACCACCAAGTTTATGTTTGGGGGCCCCTACTCTTTAAAATTCTTGTGAATCCCTTGGACAAAAAGATGGATTCTATCTTACCAAATTTGAATATGGCTAAAGTGGGCGAGGTAGAAGATGCGATATAATATTCAAACTGATCTTGATGGATTAAAAGTAATTAAAAGTAATACAATGTAATTTAATAGAGATGAATGCAATCACAAGTAATCCTCCATTTATGACTATTTTTTAGCAACCAGTTACAACAGCTCTCAAAAAGGTGTCTTACAACTGTTTTTGTACTTAACATCTGTCACAGTGTCCCTGTAACCACAATTCGGGTGCTTTGCAACTGGCATGTATTTACAATAGTTGCAGCATCCCAGGATCACCTAATTGCCATTTTTGATTCTTCTCAGTTGGCTTCTGACAAGCAAAGTCACTGGGAGAATCCAGATTCACTTAACAACCATGTAACTGGCTTAAGCCACCACATGATTAACTTAATATGGCAAAAAAGTTGTAAAGTTGGGCACTGCCACATGATCACTCACTTAATGACATCATTGTTATCATAAGTTGAGGACACAAATAGTACCAATAGTTAACAGGTGCCTTGGGTGTAATCCCAAAACTCCTGGAGCACCACTTGAACACCAAACCACTATCAGACGATTGCGAAAGGCAGCTTTGCTTGGAACAGCTTACCTTTACACCATCAAACATCTGTCTGTCCTTGGGAAGGACTTTATAGGTGGGTAAAAATGTTCAGTCTGAACATCTGGCTGACTGTGCAACCAACCAAAATAATTCACCATATCATATATTTCTAATTATATTATACAGTATTCGGGTTTCTGAGGAAATATTTACAAAGCATTAAAATACAATACATTATCTTTAAATTGAATCACTGCTAAATACAAACAGAACTTTCCAAAATAGGAAAACTGCTGGAAGAGCTGCCGATCTCTGAGACTGTAAAGAAGAGGGTGGATTCACTTACTTCTTCAAAGTGCTTCCAATGTCCTAAAAAAAGAGACAAAGCATTAAAAGGAGCCATTTCCTATGCAGACAGTTAAAATCTTAAATTCACAAAATAAATGAGTGAAACCTCTGGACAACCAGACAAAAACAGAATATAAAAAGTACTTCCATTAAAAAAAAAATAATCCCACTGATCTTTTTCCTCAGCCATCCCCCTCTTTTAGACAGGTATTGTTTATTTTTACTTTCTTGTCTTAGGAAAATTATAGCCCAGTTGAATCCAACACAATTATACAGATTATAATATATATAAATAATAATAAAAAATGATAGCAAAAGCTATTCAGTTAGTGATCGTTCGAAGTTAAAATAGCGGTGAAAAAGTGACTTATGGCCATTTTTCACACTTATGACCGTTGCAGCATCCCCATGGTCACTCAAAATTCAGCCGCTTGGCAACTAACTCATATCTATGATGGTCACAGTGTCCTGGGGTCATGTGATCACCTTTTATGACCTTCTGACAAGCAAAGTAAATGGGGAAGGAGAATTCACTTAACAACCATGTTACTAATTTGACCACTGTAGTGGTTCACTTAGCAACTGTGGCAGGAAAGGTTGTAAAATGGGGCAAAATTCACTTAGCAACTGTTTTGTTTAGCAACAGAAATTTAGGGCTCAATTGTGGTCATATGTTGAGGACTACCTGTACTCTTCATACCTTCTGATTTCCTGTTCATAGAAAGAGTCAAAAAGATTACTAAGTAAGGAGCTTAAAAAAAGTTTTGGAACTTTGTTACTGTACACATTGAGTGCAGCGAGAATCATACATAGACAGAAATGGAAAGATAATCTCCACAACAGAAGAATAGATGGAAAAAGTGATAAGAGTTAGAAAAAAGTGACAAAATTGACTGTTTTAATTAGAGAAAAGAACATATCAACCTTTGTTTCTACTTGCAAACTGCTACTGGATTTTGTGCTCAAAATAGAAAGAAATGAACTCTTGACCCTGGGTTTTGCTAATTAGATAATTTATTTTTATAGACACGGCAAATAATTATTAAGTATGTAAAAGTAAAAATTTGAGGCTGTAATTTAATTTTGTATTTTACTGCGCTGAAAAAAACTGAAAGAAAATGCTTTTTTTTCTTTCTTCTTTATTCCACAAGTCTTTCCCCTTCTTAGCCTTCTCCATTTCCCTATTATCTTGCTGTGGATATAATTTACTTGGACTTCAGTAAGGCATTTGATAAAGTAGACCACAACTTACTACTTGATAAGATAGAAAAATATGGGTTAGACCAGGAGTCCCCAACCCCCGGTCTGTGAACCAGTACCAGTCCGCGGCATGCCAGCAACCAGTCTGCACAAACAAGTAAAGCCCCATCCGCGGGATGCAGGCAGCACACAAAACCACGCACCCTCCGGTCCGCAGAAAATCTCTCTCCATGGAACCGGTCCCTGATGCCCAGGGTTAGACAGCATCACCACCAGATGAATTCGTAATTGGCTAAGCAACCATACTCAACGTGTAATCCTCAATGGAACTGCATCTATATAGAGGAAAGTATGCAGTGGGGTACCCGAAGGCTCTGTTTTAGGCCCAATACTCTTCAACGTCTTCATCAATTATTTTGATGAGGGGATAGATGGGGAAATCATCAAATTTGCAGAAGACACCAAGTTGGCAGGAATAGCCAACAAATAGGCTTAAGATATAGAAAGATCTTGACAGACTTGAATGTTGGTCCCTGTCTAATAAAATGAAATTAAATGGTGAAAAAAGTAAGGTTCTACATTTAGGCAAGAAAAACCAAATGCACAGGTATAGCATAGGACCTGGCTCAACAGTAGTAACTGTGAGAAGGATCTTGGAATCCTAGTGGACAATCATTTAAATATGAGGCAACAGTGTGCTGCAGCTGCCAAAAAAACCAACACACTCCTAGGCTGTAATAACAGAGGGATAGAATCAAAATCACGTGAAGTGTTAATACCACCTTACATACTGCCTTGGTAAGACCACACTTGAATACTGCATCCAGTTTTGGTTGCCACAATGTAAAAAAGATGTTGAAATTCTAGAAAAAGTACAAAGAAGAGCAACAAAGATCTAGGGGACTGGAACCTAAAACATACTAAAAACAGTTGCAGAAAGAAGGTGTGTCTAGTTTAATGAACAGAAGGACTAGGGTGACATAATAACAGAGTTCCAATATCTCAGGGGTCGCCACAAAGAAAAGGTGGTCAACCTATTCTCCAAAGCACCTGAGGGCAGGACAGAAGGAATGGATGGAAATTAATCAAGGAGAGAAGTAACCCAGAACCAAGGAGAAATTTCCTGACAGTTAAAACAATCAGTCAGTGGAACAAGTTGCCTCCAGAAGTTGTGGGTGCTCAAAACACTGGAGGTTTTTAAAGAGAGACTGGACTACCATTTGTCTGAAATGGTACAGAGCAGGAGTCCCCAACTTGTGGGCCACAGCCCACTACTGGGCTACAACCTAATTGCCACGGGGCTGCCTGAGTGGCTATTTGATGTGTGAGCGCGTGCGCACAGCCCCACTCACGTCATCACAAGCATCAGGGCCCACTCGTGTCGCCATGAGTGTCGTGGGCACTCACACATACACAAGCACATACCTCCACCTCCCACAAAATAATCCCCTCTTTACTTCCTCCCCCCCCCCCGCCTCAGGCCGCTAACCCGAAAAGGTTGGGGAACTCTAGTATAGAGTTTCCTGCTTGGGCAGAGGGTTAAACAAGAAGACCTCCAAAGTCCCTTCCAACTGTTATCATTCTTATTCTTCTTTATACTCATTTGTATTTTTCACTATTATAATTTCAATAAAATTTATGATTAAAAAAAGTCAAAAATAGTATTCTGTGTTGGGACTAAAGCAGTTCTACCCCATTTCCTCAGTGATACAAAACTCTATACACCACTCCATACACCATGATACAAAAAAGATGATGAGGTCTTAGAAAGAGTGCAGAGAGGAACAATCAAGATGGTGGCCAAAACGTACAATGAGTGGCTAAGGAAACTAGGTATGCTTAGCGTAACAAAGAGAAGGCTTAGGGGAGACAGGACAGCCATCTTCCATTGTTTAATCAATGGAACAGCCTGTCTCCCTGAGTTGTGGCTGCTCCATCACTGGAGGTTTCCAATAATAGTTTGGGCAATCATTTCTTCAGGATGGTAAGGACCAGTGCTTTTTTTCTAAAAAAAAAAAAAAAAAAAGGTGCCGGAACTCACACACATCATACAACCTGCCTTGCCTACCCTACAAGGTTCCATCCAAAAAAGGTGCCGGAACTCCGTTCTGGACGTTCTATGAGAAAAAAAGCCCTGGTAAGGACTCCTGCCTTGGCCAGAGCATTGGACTAGAAGACCTCCAAGGTCCCTTCTAGCCCTATGATTCTATGATCTCAACTTCCTGCCTGACCTGTAAGAGTTTGCTGGCTGGCTGCTGATGCTTCTCCTCTATCTCCTGGATGAGATCGTCAAGAGAGCACAGATCCTCCATGTGCTTGGCCAAACGTTTCTCCTTTATTGCCATAATATCCTTCTCCGTTTCTTCCATGCTAGCCAACAGAAGCTTCTCCTGTCCTTCTAACCAGAGTTGTAGTTCTCTGAATTCAGCCACTACATTTTTTTTCTTTTTTTCGATGAGGTCCTAGAACAAGAAGACAGAAAGAGAAAAAGGCATTATTTTATTTTACTTTTATTTAATTACATTTTTGTTTTATTATTACAGGTAGTCCTTGACTTACAACCCTTCATTTAGTGACTATTCGCAGTTACAGCGGCATTGAAAAAAGTGACTTATGGCCATTTTTCACATTTATGCCTCTTGCAGCATCGTTCACATGATCAAATCTCAGATGCTTGGCAACAGGCATGTATTTATGATGGTTGCAGGGTCCCGGGGTCATGTGATCACCTTTTGCAACCTTCTGACAAGCAGAGTCAATGGGGAAGCCTGATTCACTTCACAACCATGTTATTAACTTAACAACTGCAGTGGTTCACTTAACAACTGTGGCAAGCAAGGTCGTAAAATGGGGCAAAACTCACTTAACAACTGACTTGCTTAACAACAGCAATGCTGAGCTCGGTTGCAGTTGTACGTCAAGGACTGCCTGTATACAATTGATATAACTTTGGATGGTCACTAAATGGTTGTAAGTCGAGGATTACCTGAAGTTCCTCACCGTTGGATCAATACTTACAAGCATCTCCTGAACACTTTGCTCTGTGTCTGTTTTGTATATAACTATTTTTTCTTTCTCCTCCTTCTGAGCCTTCAGGCAATCCCCAACATTGATCTGAAGATAAAATACAAGTTTTGAGTTTCTTTTCTGTAAAGAATTACATTGGAGGAAAGACCCAGTTAGAAAATATGATGCTTCTTTAAAGGATATTTCCCCCACCCACCCCCAAAATGTTTTTTACCAAATAAACGGGTTTAATAAATCCCATGCTGTAAATGGCCATACAGCATGGAAAACAGGGAAGGAAAACAAATGCCTGCCCATGAACTTTACATCCCAATTGTTTCTCAGCTATTTCAATTTTATACTTAGGATCTTTTAGGAACAGGAATTGAATGCTTTCTTTCTTAGATCTCAAACATCAGAAGGGAGGTGGAGCTCTTTTTTTAAATGAGACAATAAAAATAAAGAATCCAGGTTTGAATATTGGTAAGACAGTTGTTAAGTGAGTTTGGGCCCATTTTACAATTTTTCTTGCCATAGTTGCTAAGTGAATCACTGCAGTTGTTAAGTTAGTAATGCTTCCCCATTGACTTTGCTTGTTAGAAGGTCACACAAGGGGATCCCATGAACCCCTGGGCACTGCAACCGTCATAAATATGAGCCAGTTGCAAAGTATCTGAATTTTTATCAGTGGCCACAGGGATGACACAATGGTCATAAGTGCGAAAAACGGTCATGAGTCACTTTTTTCAGTGCTGTTTGTACCTTAACTTTGAATGGTCACCAGAAAGAGGCAAGGGGGTGAGATAAAGCAGGAGGAAGCAACTAAACGGGTCCAAGGATTGCCAGTGCTAACACTGGATGGCCCTCCGCAGGGATTCCTCCTGGCTGATTCCTACCTGGTACTCCTGGAGAGCCTCCTCCGCCGGGATCACCGAGTGGTCCCTGTGCTCTTTGGATAGGTTGCAGACCACGCAGATGAGGGTCTCGTCGTGCTTACAAAAGAGCTTGAGGGGCTCCCGGTGCTTCGGGCAGAAGCTCCCTCCGTCCTCGCCCCAGGATCCTATGCAACGTCCGGCCTCTTCCACCAGCCGCGCCAGCTGCCTGTTGGGGAGGACGTTGCGGGGCACGAAGGTCTGTCTGCACACGGGACAGGAAGCCTCCGATTCCGACGTTCTCCAACTGCCGGTCAGGCAGCCCCGGCAGAAGTTGTGGCCGCACTCCGGGATGAGCACGGGGTCCTGGAAATACTCCAGGCAGATGGAGCAGGTGGCTTCTTCCAGCAAGAGTGCCTCGGCCGCCATCGCCCTCTCCTCCGCCGAGAAAACGAAAGAGAAAGTTAGTTTCGCAACTTTTCCTGCCAATCAAGGAAAACCAATTTAGAATACTATGAATGTTGTTGCTAGAATGTTTCATATGTTGTAGTCTACCTTCCATGGGCTTTGACTCTTTGAAAATAAAATTTCCTTTTCTTCAAGTAGCACCAGCGTTTTTGTTTTGTTTTTTCTCCTTTCGCCGCTGAAATCCGGACCAGATTTTCCTTCCCACACCAGCATCCTATTAAAGGGGGGAAAGAAGTTTTAAAAAACTGGGGCGAAGCAAACATTCTCGGAACACCCCCCTCCGATCAATTATTGATCCAAGAATCCTGCTAAAGAGAAAGGTGCTGGAAAAAACCTGGGGAGAAAGAAGCGTCCATGGGACGGATTCCCGATGAATTTATTATTGATACAACCAGCTTGTTAAAAAACCGGGAAGAAGGAAACATTTATGGGACGGGATGGCGTAAAGTTGGCATGAAAGAGATTGGGAGAAACCCTTGATAAAACCCCAAATACAATTGATAGAATGTCAACGAGATAAAGGGAAATCACGGATAGAAATTAAAATCCTTTCAAGCCCCCTCCTTTATGTTGCCTTTTCAGTGGTGGCAACTCATGTAGTACTACTAAACATATTTAGGGCCTGGAAATTAAGCCATATTTACAGAACATTCACATCTAAATCTCATTTTAATATCTTGTATTTCTGTTGCAGGAAAACCTTCAACATAAGAAGATTTAACATTTTATCATCTAGCATGTTAAGGGGAAGTTACTGTGTAGCAATATCCTATTATCTAATTTTTTAAAGTCCCTATTCTTGCTAATAAAATAACTGAAAATATTTCTTTATCCTGCTGTAACATCCTTTTTTACACTAATTGACTCTGAATAAATCTCTTCCTAACTGAGTGTTAGGGCTGAAAATAGGATTATTTTTTATTAGCAGGTCAATTCATCACAATCTACATAAAATTCTGTTCAGGTGATCAGCATTCAAAAGGACTATGTTTGAATTCACCATTGTGGTTTATTTTTATTACCTCTTCTTTGTCTCTGTTTATCTGATGATAATGTTTGACTAGGTTTCTTGGACCCGTGGTTATAAATAAAAAAAACTTTAAATCTTCCAAATAAAGAACATGGCAAACCACCATCACGGTGCCAAGAAAACTGCTTGGACACGTCCATATCACCAGAATTCGAACTCAACTCAATGGAGTTTATTTTTTTGTAAATAATAATAATAATAATAATAAAGTTGGACCTTGTAGGTCATCTAGTCCAACCCCCTGCTCAGGCAGGAAACCCTATACCATTTCAGACAAATGGCTGTCCAGTCTCTTCTCAAAAGCTTCCAGTGTTGGAGCATTCACCGCTTCTGGAGGCAGGTTGTTCCACTGGTTAATTGTTCTAACGGTCAGGAAGTTTCTCCTTAGTTTTAGGTAGCTTCTCTCCTTGATTACTTTCCATCTGTTGCTTCCCCATTCAGTGATTTGTATGTGGGCCTATGAAAGAGCTTATTTCATTTGAAGGAATTATTATTTTCATTAGATTACATTATTACTACTATTAAACATCCATGCAAAAAGAGATGGGCCTCATTACAAAAAAACACATGTTTAAAATGCACCACCCCCAATCAGGATATAGTTTAAGCACGATCAAAATTACAAATTAAAACTCCCAACAGTTAAAATTACTGTTATTGTTTTACTGTCATAAAAGCCATGAAACCCTTAAGAACCACAATCTATTTACAGCCAAAGTAAATAAAAATAACCCACGAATGATACTATCCTAATCCTCTAAACCCGTAATAATTTCCAGAGCAGTGGCCCTTTATTGGCACAAAAATGTCACAAAGAAATGGGTGGATTGCATTTGGACTGGATGAAATTGATTGCGGACCCTGAAAACCCCTGAGCTCGTACTTCCCATTCAACAGGTCTTTTCCTCTCTTGCAAGCATGCTTACAAGTCCAGGTAACCTTATCTGAACTGAGTTTGTCTGGACAAAGCAAACTAGGTTTGTTTATAGGTGCTATGGATTGGCAAAGGCTGGGGTTCAAATCCTTCAACTTTCCAGGCCTAATTTTCCAAGACAAACCCACAGCCAAACTGCCTCTAAACTTCGCATTTGGCCTCACCTTCCCCATAGCTCCACCCACATTTCCTCCTTCCTTCCTCCCCTCACAAATTGCTAGCCAATCCCATTGCCTAGCCAATCCCACCTCCCCATGGATTCTCACAGACTCCTCTTTCAAAGAAGAGTAATTAGCTCCCCAGAAGCAGGGAGATACTGCAGAGGGGGAACAACCCTAGAGGGAATCAACAAAGGCCAACCCTGACTGCTCTTTAGAAGGCCAGATCCTGAAGTTGAAACTCAAGTACTTTGGCCACCTAATGGGAAGGAAGGACTCACTGGAGAAGAGCCTGATGATGGGAAAGATTGAGGGCAATAGAAGAAGGGGACGACAGAGAATGAGGTGGCTGGATGGAGTCACTGAAACAGTAGGCGTGAGCTTAAATGGACTCCAGAAGATGGCAGAGGACAGGAAGGCCTGGAGGAACATTGTCCATGGGGTCGTGATGGGTCGGACATGACTTCGCAACTAACAACAACAAAAGGGTGGAAGCCCCACCCCTTATTTATATATGGGTAGAAGGCGGGGCTGGCTGCCACCTTGACTTTTCTTGGCCTGGCTTGGGACACCCACCCTTGCTGTAATCCCCAAACTATGACAAGAAAGAGCATCATGTAGGGTCACTGGGGTCTGGGCTCTCCTGGACCTCCTTTTCAATCATCTGGGTGCCTTCCCCTGCTACAGTCCATGGTTGTGGCTGCCAATCCCTCACTCAGGCACTTCCACTTGCCCCGGGTCAGCTGGACTCTGCTGTCTTCTCCTTCCAGCCGGTCCCTTGAGCAGCCTTCTCCCACAGGTGGGTGACATGGTGTGGGGATGGTCAGACGGCCAGTCAGCCATTCTTCCTCTCTCTCTCTCCTGATGCTTGCTGGTCTCTCCTGCCACTGCCTCTGCTCCTCCGTTGATTCCCCTGCCTGCCTCCCTTTCTCTCCATCTCTTTCCCCTTCCTCCTTCTCCTCTTTTCTCAACCTTTCCTCAGAGACTTTTCCCCACACTCCTTTCTTCCCCTTTCCTCAACCTATCCTCATGTGTGGCTTCCTCCCCCCCCCCCACTCAATTTGTGGGGTGCAGGCATGTGAGCCAGGAGGCCCCACGTCTCTTCTCTCTCTTCTCTGCCCCCAAAGAGATTCCCCTTTCCCTCTCACCCCCCTCTCTCTATCCCAGGGGTTCCCAACCAGGGGCTCTCGTACCCCCTGGGGGTGCAAGATGATATTTCAGGGGTTGCGAAAACTTGGGTTTTCAAAATTACAGTATATATGCATAGTTCGTTGCCGTTATTTCGAACTTTTCTAAGGGGTGCAAGAATATATCAGAAGCGTTCTAGGGGTGCGGTGTATAGAAAAGGTTGGGAGTCGCTGCTCTATCCCCTCCTCTGCTCCTCTTTCCTGCCAAAACCACCTCCATTTCATTCCCTTCTCTCTCTTCCCCCATGATATAGTTAAAATGGGGCAAAGCTCACTTAACAACTATCTCACTTGGCAGCAGAAATTTTGGGCACACTTGTGGTTGTAAGTCGAGGACTAGCTGTATTAGGTAATGTTCATTTAGATTCCTCACATGCTCCTTTGCCAGCAGCAGCTTGTCAGTCTTCAGTTGCTCGGATGCTTTGAGATGTTCCAGAGAGTTTCACTCCATTTATTTATTTGTTTATTTGTTTGTTTGTTTATTGTATCTCACCTTTATTATTTTTACAAATAACTCAAGGTGGCAAACATACGCAACACATCTTCCTTCTCCAATTTTCCCCACAACAACCCTGTGAGGTGGGTTAGACTGAGAGAGAAAGACTGGCTCAAAGTCACCAGTTGGCTTTCAGGGCAAAGGCAGGACTTGAACTCACAGTCTTTCCTCTTCCTAGCCCTGTGCCTTAACCACTAGACCAAACTGGATCTGACTCTCATCTCAGTATCGAAGCCACTGTTGACCCCTGGTGACTGCCTGGAAAAAATCTCCCTGCACTTTTCTTGGCAAGGATTCGGGAGGGGCTTTGCCATTGCCTGCTTCCTAGGGCTGAGTGAGAGTGACTGGTCCAAGGTCACCCAGCTGGCTTTGTGCCTAAGGCAGGATTAGAACTCATGGCTTCTAGCTTGATTTCTTAAACACTACATCAGATTGGCTTCTTCTTTTACAGTTACTCAGTCAAAAGCAGAGTGACTTAAAGCAAGAAGGAAAAAGAGTGCTATTTGGCATCTTGTCCAGTCTGACAATACAGGTAGTCCTCAACTTACAACAGTTCATTTAGTGACCATTCAAAGTTAGTATTGAAAAAGAGACTCATGACCTTCCATACTTATAACCGTTGAAGTATCCCCATGGTTACACGATCAAAATTGAGATGCTTGGCAATTGGTTCATATTTAAGATGGTTGCAGTGTCCCAGGGCCCTAGGATCACCTCTTGAGATCTTCTGACAAGCAAAGTCAGAAGCAGTACTAGGATTTGTCAAAAAAAAAAAAAAAACAGCCTATGAGGCTGTAAAGCTTATATGAGGTCTAATTCTTGCTGAAGCCCTGCTAGGGTTTGTTGGATTATGACAATTATAATAATAATAATAATAATAATAATAATAATAATAATAATAATAATAATTTAATTTATATACCGCCCTTCTCCCGTAGGACTCAGGGCGGTGCACAGCATATTAAAACAGATACAAACAAAATACATCAAAAAACAAAAAAACCCCATAAAACCAAATTATGTGTTATTTAAATTATGTGTTATTTAAAAGGAAACAAAAAAAAGAGGTGGAAGGAAAGAAAAAGAAAGAAGGGAAAGATTACAGAATATATCAAATTATGCACACCTGCACAATTATTTATTGCAATAGTACACAAAAAAGTAT